GTTCCAGCCACACGGTTTCCAGAAAGACCTAATTATTGCTCCTGCTCACCCCCGCTCATCCTCTCCATTAACTTGCTCCTATTTATCATGGTGCTGATTAATCTTTTCCTCAGAAGGAGACAGGCATGTTTGAGCCAAATGTCCCTGTCCTCACATGTCACATGACCAGGTATGCCTGTAGGGCTCCTGCCGCATGTGCGCCCCATGCTGAGATGCCCCATCCTCTTACCTGACCGTTCTGACCTGCTCTGGGGCCCTTCTCTAGCAGCCTTGCTCTAACAGCACCTCTCTCACCCTGACCCCAGACCTCACTACAAGAGCTAATGACCTCCAGCTGCCAAGCTTTTGAGCCACCAGATGGTCACAGCAGTGTTCCCTGCTGTTACCTCCTGGAGCTGCCCCTTTGAACCTGTGTTCCAGGCTCAGACTTTTGCCCTCACTGTTTTGGGAACAGATGCCCCTGCTCTTTCGGCTGGAGCATGGCCTCTGCGGATGCCATCCTGAGACAGGCCTTCTCTCTGTGTCCATCTGAGGATGGGTCATCACGGTGTGACCTGTGTTTCCTGATGTTCACCTGGACTCGCTCTTCTCCACTGTGTTGCAGGTCTGAGGATCTGGAATACATTTATAATCAACTGAGAACGATAAAGGTCAAGGGCATAGCTGGGCTTCTGGACAAGCTTCAGAGCAGCTACTTCCCAGCTTTCCAAGCCATGTTCAGAGATGTTGTAGCAGGTGAGGACCCACAAGTATTTCCATAAATACATTTGATTCAAATTTCTTATTTAGTGCTGAATTATCGTTTCTCTTTGATTTCAGCGGCTTCCAGTCCTTATAACCTTCCAACCTGACACAGTCTAGCACGGTGGCAAGAATACCAAATTTAGAAGCAGGAAAGCAGCTGTCCCATGCTCTGTTTGCATTTCCAGTGCTTTGTGACTTTGGCAAAGTCACCTAACTTCTCTGAGCTTTAGTGTGTACCGTGGTTATAGTGCACACACTTCCCGTCTACTTCCCTGGGCTGTTGTGAGGTGGCATAGGTGGAAGTACCTTACGGACTGTCCCACACTGTGCCAATGCATGCTGTAGTTTCTTACCTCTGGAATTCAGGTCCTCATGCCCCTGGCTCCTTGAGAAGTCTCTCTTCCATTTATAGTTCCACTCTGCTTTTTCTCTTCCTACTGTCAGATGGGACTGCAGTTTCTTGGCCATCTGAGCACCAGACAAGATTGGCCCTTGTCAAAATTGCTAATCCAGCAGAATCTATAATTAGAAGTAGGTAAATATTTTCAGGGCTCCCCCTCCTTTCATCAGTGCACTTTGTTTCTTTCCTTTCTCCTGTCAAACCTCCCTCCTCACAGCTCTTCAGTATTGTAGGTCACCATGTGCTTTTAAACGTGTTTGCAGTTTCGTATGATTTAAGCTTAATCCAAGCAGTGATTTTCAAACACTTTTTCTCTATCAGAACTCTTTCTTTAAATTCAACTCTTTTTTAAAATTCAATCTCCTTTGGAAGTCCAAAATCTTAAACTTACTGAGGTATATTTGTTCTGCTAAAAAGGGATCATCCTGTGTCCAGATGTCCAGAGCCCATCGGTGGATTCCTTGTCCCACCTTCTCCTCATGGAATGGGATTTGGAAACCACTCAGCTAAAGGAATAAAAAGTTCCAGTGCTGGAGTTTCTGGCATGTGCTGTATAACAGAGAAGAATTGTGCTTAAGTAGCCAGTCTTTGAGGCCCTTCTGGGCCCTAAAATCTCATCCCAGGGGCTATTCTGCCAGCACTGACAGCTGGCTTGGAATGGGGTCCCTGTTGTGGCCCCAGTTTATTATTGCTTCTCTGATAGATTTTTGTGAATCTGAGGAATCAACTGTTGTTTCCAATTTATACTCCAATTCAAATGAGACAGAGTCACCAAAAGTGATATGTATACCACTGTGTGTGTGAGAGAGGATTGTGGGAGATGTGTGGACAGGTATATCTTAAAAGGTGCTAAAGCGTAACTTTTTTGGGGGCAAGTGATTACAAGTTTTCCAGTTATGGTAATGATACGCAGTTTTCATTTTATATGGTTTTATTGAGGTTAAAATGAGAGTCAATTTAGAGAAAAGAATGAAGTAATGCTACAGCTTACAGGTGGTCATGACCAATACCATAAAGGAGGTATGCAAACACCTGAAATTTGAGGCTCTGAAATAAAACATGCAGTAAAAGTATATTGATGAATTGGTTATATATTTGGAGCCTCAAATACATCTTTCACATTAATAGATTAATAGACTGCAGTCATTCACATTGATTAATAGTTATACAAGATTTTGTTCCCCAGACCAGCTTCTAAAAGTCCTTTGCAGTAGAGTATTTTGGCAATGAAAAGAAGTTGGAAAAAACAATATCACTGTAACAGTCCCAGATAAACACCACTGTAAAAATAGAAATCCTTGAAATATATACCTCAGTCTGCTGGAAGAAAAGAAATTTTGAGTAGAGTTACTAGGTACAGACTGGCGGGCTCTTCAGAGAATAAAAATATTTTAGAGGCTGTCAACTTGTTTTCTCATTTCTCACATAATTTCAGAGCATCTGTCTTTATCCTGTACAGATGTACTACGTGCACTGTTCTTACTGGTCATGATCAGGGTAGTTCTTTGGCTCACAGATGGGCTGAAGAGAGGGAGAGGAAAAGAAACAGTCCTGGGTTAGTGGGCACAAACTGGAAAACAGTGAGAAGAAGGCAGTGAAAAGGATGTAGGAAAAATGTGCGGAAACAAGCGTTGTCTGAAATGGAATCTGTTGGGCAGTAAAGAACCTTGGAAACGCAGTAACGTACCCTGGAGGGGAAAGACCAAGGCAGTGAATTCTAAGTAGGGAGTTCTCGTCTCTCACCAGTAGGGGGCAGGGTTGGCACAGTGCTGCCGGGTTGCCAGTCCAGGGTATTTGTAGGTGGATGTGTGTGGAAGAGAAGTAAAGTCCAGGGGTGCACTGGAGCCAACTTGGACTGGCCTGCAGTTTCTCACTAAAGCCCACTGTATGCAACTCTTTTCAAAGCCCCCTCCCCAACACTCAGTGAAGTCCCGTTGTAACTTGAAATCGGACACGGTGGGAAGATGGGGAGTATTTACACCACAGAAACTGGCCAGTGCCAAAGGCTTTTGGGATGAAAACTTTTGTCCCAGAAGGGCCTGTTGTTAACGATTTGCTGGAAAAACAGATATCCCTGTGCAATCGGAGTTTATATTTGCATTTTTTTAAAAAAAAGTGTGAGCCTAACTTGTCCATCTCTTTCTTCATTTGCCTTGTGAGCCAAGGTGATTGTACCCTGCACTGGGTGAGCCAATGCTGAGCTCTTCAAAATCAGGGGAGTGCCTGTTTGTATGATTAAAGGAGATTTGGCTTATTAAAAAAAAGGTAACATAAAAAGAAATCTCCTTTGGCGTGATGGCCTCAGTTTCTCTTACCTTGTGGCACATCTGAAAGCTGGAGCCCATGCTCATTGGACTGGCTGTTGGATTCTATACCCCCGCCCCATATGGGTTTTGATAATCCCTTGAGCTCCCCTGTTTAAGAATCAACTGCTCTAATCAATTTACCGTGACATCTGACTTTCAAAAATTGGATTCTTGTAGTATGCCCCCAACTCCATTTGGGATATAAAGTACAGATGTACACACCCCAAACTCCTGTGTGCAGTGAGCCCCACACCACCAAGCTAGGGGTTCGACTGATAAGCTGGGGGGTACTCTTGCTTTTGCTCAGCTGGGCAGGGCTGGCTGATTGGATTCACAGAAAGACTCCAGGCCAGTTATTTAGATCTTCATTTCTTTATTTATAGAGCTACCTCACAGAGGCAGTTTTGCATTCCCTCTAAGTGACTCTACGGAGTTAGTTTCCAGAGCTACTGGTTCTCCCACTTTTCCCTCTCAGTCACCACAGGAGGACTGGTGGGAGGCATTCTTTCTTTGGCTGTATTCAAAGGAGTTGGTGGATTTTCCTGGCTTTGAAAACCAGCAGAACCTTGCCATTATCAGTCTGTGCTCTTTCTCTATTCCCTGTTATTTCTCCTCCAGAAGAGCTCTGAGATTCTTTATTACTAATATTTATCAGGGACATTACCATTTATGGAATGCCTGCTTGGATATAAAGATTCTGTGTGCTACCTTCAGCCCTTCACAAGAGCTCTTTAGTTACTGTTCAGCCCATTATTGAGGTCTGGAGAGGTTCCACATGTCCAAGGTCATACATTTGATGTACCAGCCTTTGAAGGCAGATCTTTCTGACTCTGACGCCTGTCCTCTGTCATCTGTTTTGTATTGCCTCGGAGATACCAGCAACAAAGAGAGCAGCCGACAACCACTGAGCATCTTGTACACACAGAGCACCAGGCTGGGGCTGACGGGCCAGGAGGAAGTCCAGATACAGGAATTTTGTGAGAAAGACTCCTCAGACCACTATCCCAGCGGTCCAGGATTCTGATTTCGTGTTTCCTCGTAAGAGCTAGAAAGTTTTCAGGGACCAGCCTTTTCCACTCCCTCAGCTAAGGAAGAGATTGTAGCCATTGCTTTGCAGACCCTTCACTTCCAGGCCCCAGGGCTCTGCTTGGCGGGTGTGAACCCCAAGCCAGGAAGGTGACCGTCTCCAATTCCTTCCAGCTCTGACAGAGGCACAGGACATCCATGCACACCTGGTGCCGCTGCACCGCCACCTGGAAACCCTCGAGAGCCTGGAGTTTCCCGAGGTGAAGCCACGACTGCAGCCTCTGCTCCACGTAGTCTGCCTGATCTGGGCCACATGCAAGTCCTACCAATGCCCTGGGCGGCTCACGGTGCTGCTGCAGGAGATCTGCAACCTTCTGGTCCAGCAGGTTGGCACCCGGATTCCCCACAACCTCTCCCTGGGGGCTGGATGGCACCAAGCCACAAGGAAGAGGAAGAGTGCATTTTTCTCAGGGCAGGGACGTAATTTGGGTCCAAAAAGTTCTCACACTTGAATTTTTTTATTATCACAGCTGGTAACTCACAAAGGTTTTCTCAGTCCTGCTGGGATACTTGGCGAGACCAGTCTCCTTTCCCCTCTGCCCAAGGCCCAACTCGAGCAGGGGTAGGAGTGGTGAATTTTAACCTCCTTAATGAGCTTAACGGCCTGGTATTAGGTCAGCAGCAAAGCCCAGCAGTTGAGAACGCTGCCTGTGGAGTCGAGTGTCCCTCTGCCACAGCCGCATCACTGCTTGTTAGCTGCGTGCGCCTGGGCACATCACTCACCTGCCCTGGGCCTCCCTTTCCCTCCGTGCAGTCGTGGAAAGAAGAGGACCTACCTTGGAGAGTTGCTGGGTGGTTGTGAGGCCCCAGCACAGTCCTGAACAGCAAGGCTCCCATCGTGCCTCCCTGTGCTGAGAAATCCGCCTGTGAGCATCCAGGCACCCAGAAGCAGCTTCTTGGATCCCACACTCTGTCTCCCCTTCCTTAGGGACCCCCAGTGTAAACCTCACGGAGTGCGTCTGTAAACAGAGGCCTTACAACGTTTGGGTGATCCACCCCTCAAATTCACTTCTTTTACCTCCAGGGAGCAGGACTTTGAGAAAACAGTGAGCGTGTTTAGAGAGTAAAAAAATCACTCACATCTGTGGAGCATGTTGCAGGCTGCAAAGTGCTGTGACATTCATGATCTTGGTCATTCTCAGGTGAACCTTGCAAAGTGGGCAGGCAGAGCCTTATTAATTTACTATTATTATTTAAAGATGTGGGCTTATGCTCAGGGAGGTTAACTGAGTCATCAAAGGTCACCCAACCCAGGACCAGAAGCTAATTATTTGACTCCTAGGCCAGCATTGTTCCATCACTGCATGTTTGTCAGCCAGGACTCCTATGACTGGAAGTGTAAGAAAACCCAACCAGAATTAGCATCAACAGAAAGATAACTTATTGGCTCATGTACTTCAAAAGTCAACAGTAAGGCCTTGGTAAGGTCGCCAGGATCCAGTTATTTCAGCCCTTCCCTATGGTGGTAAAGGTGGCTGTCCAGTGGCTTCAGACACACAGCTTTCCAGGTTCCAGTCTCTCATAGACAGGGAAATAGTTCTGGATGAAGAATTCTTGCACTCAAATAATTTTACTGTAGAAAGCCGGTAAGTCACAAAAAATACCTCGGGAGAATACCTGCCTAGCCAGCCCCAGCTGCCCCAACAAAAGTCTCACTGTGTTTCCTTATCTCTGGCTGGTCACTTGTCATCTCTTGCTGGTATCTTGTCATCCTTGAGCCAATCACTGACAGTTTGGCTTGAACCCAGGTCCCAGCCCACCTATGGAACTGAGGATGGGGTCTGATGTTTCCTATATTATGCTTCTGAAAAATGTTGCTTGGGCAGTTACTCACTTCAGAGTCATGGGGTGTCCTGCACCTGCGGCCAGGCTTGGTGACACTAACCTGTTTGCATTCCAGGCCTCTCGTTACCTCAGCCCAGAAGACCTCTTGAGAAGTGAAGTAGAAGAAAGTCAGAGAAAACTACAGGTGGTTGTGGACACCTTGAAATTCTTCAAGCAGGTGTTTCAGGACAGAAGGGAGAATCTCCAGTCTTACTTCAAAGAGAACCAGGAAGTCCGGGGGTGGGATTTCCAGTCCTCTTTGGTCTTCATGCGATTGGATGGCTTCCTGGGGCGACTGCACATGGTGCAGGTGAGTGTTCTTATTCACATCAGGGCCCTGGCTCTGCGCAGAAGTGAAAAATCCAGGGATCCAGATAGAATAAGAAAAGGCCTGAGGCAACATGGTGGCCAGCCCTCCACTGATTGGAAGAACACATAAGTGTCAATAAATAATTTGGATTGGTCATCATGTAATGATAGTTCTAGAAGTTTAGGTAATTCTGATCATGGATTCATTTCGGAAGAATGCCCAAGGAATCAGTCCACAAATTCAGTTGGTAAAAATTACCCATAATCTTCAAACTTTGTTTCAAATAAACTTGTTGCTGAATGCAGGTTTGTGTGCCCGACACACAGTGAGGGCAAAAAAATACCAAAATGTCAGAGTTTGGAGCAAAGAAATGTTTATTGTTGGGCTGAGTAAGGAGAACCGGTGGCTGATGCCCAAAAAACACCCCTAAACTCACCAAAGGGTTTCAGCTGAGCATTTTTAAAGGCCAGCTGAGGGAGGGGTGCCCCAGAGGATGTGATCAGCTGAGCACAATCCTTTGGCTGGTTGATGGTGAGCAATCCTTAGGGGCCAGAAGTTCTGGGGGCTCCTGCTCATGATCATCAAGTAGTTAATTTTTTCCATTTGGAGGTGGTTTTTAGCATCTGAAAAACTCTGGAAATCTGCATGAGATTTTATTATCTGGGTGCTTCAGAGAGGAGCTACAGCAGAGGATATGGGGGAGGGGTCTGTCCTGGGAAGACCCCAGAGGTTCCTGCTGGGTTACAATTCCCCCCTTTTCTTTGATCTCCTCAATCTTGAGGAGAACAGGTATTGGACAAAAAGTAAAGTAATATTTTGGATAGAGGTTAATTACAACCTCAGCAGAGGAACTCAGTTTCAGTCTCCAGTCCTGTTTCATCTCTCCCCACAACTTTCAGTGAATGGGGCTTCGACTGCTCTGGACACTTCCTGCTGAAATGGGGCATAGTCCTACCTTGATTTAAGGAATGGACACTGAGTTGGAAATATTTCCAAGTTCTAAGTCCTGGCTTCAAGTCTTGTTTATTAAGGTCTCATTCTCTGATGAATTCAGGAGAGTAAGTCTGAAAACCAGTCTGGACCTGGCACTTTGGGGGAGACTTGTAGCCAGGTAGCCAGTTGTTTACTGTCATCTGAGTAGGTTTTAACTTTTGACGTGGGATTAACATACATATGTCACAAGAGCTATTAGCCACTACACATCTCCTTTTCTTTGCTAACATCTGATCTAAAAGTTTTACTGTCTAAAAATTTAAATTACACGAGGAGACCTTGAGCTCATAAGGTTGCAGCTGCCATCTGCCAGCAGACACTGCTTTGAGAATGGCTGGTTGCATTCTGAGTATGACACAGCTCTGAAAATTCAAGCTCCCAATAATACAGGAACGTGTTTGAAATCAGGTCCACAGTGGCCACCTAGTTTTACCTTGAATGTCTGAACTACAGCTACTCCATTTAGACTTTCAAACGCATTCCCCCTCTTCAAGGCCAAAGTAGATGCACAATGTGTATCCAAAAGGCCATGAAACAGGCTGCTTTGGTCAGTAAAGTTTACGTCAAACCATGCATAAGCCAGAATGACTTCCGTATACCTCAGTTGATGTAGGTTTTCCCCATCATTTCCACCTTTGATTACAAATCTTTCAGCAGGAAGAATTGATGATCAAATTGTCTGTCCCTTGATGCTGGGTGGTAGCTCCTGCCCCAGTGTAGGTTATATTCCTCAGTGCTAGGCCTTCTTTATATTTACCTAGTTATTCATGTTGGGGAAAAACTAATCAGATATGAACATGCTCATTGGTATGTAAAATGGGAAGACAGTTTACAGGCTAGACAGTTTATCACTTATACCCAGTTGTTAAACAAGCATTGTATGTGTGCTTTAAGCATTAGACTTAAAGCAAGCATTGTTATACATTATGAATGGTTATCCTCTGTGACAACTCCATTAGAGAATTCTCTTTCTATCCTAAACATTGGGGGTGATATTGATAATGAGACAAACATTTGGTAAATGGTTCAATTAGAAAACGTAGATTAAAAGTCAGCAATACTACAATACTTTAGACAAAAAAATTAAAACCGTATTCATCAGTTCATTCAGCCCTATGCAATCAGTCCCTTTTACTAACAGTGTTATGAAATCAAAATTTTCATTAGACCTTTTTAGTGTCTTACGCATCTCAGCAGTCTGATTTAAAAGAAACCTGTGCTTGTCAGAATGTTCCCTTTATGCATTTTCTTGAAGATGAAGCAGTTCTATAAAGCATCAGCGTGACTGTCTATGAATGACAGAAGACCCAAAAAGGCAAACTAGAAGATTGGATTACAGTGTGTTTGACAAAGAAGCTTAATCAAGTTGCTGTGACATACAACATTTTAAGAAAACAACAAGAATTATGAGTAATAGCATTATACCAGGACATTATCTAAATTTCAGAAAACTTACAGAATTTCTAGGATGTCCATATTAGCAACATTTACCCATACCCTATAATCTGAGAAGGCTTAGCACTCGTTTGACATTGGTTCCTATGCAATTCAACAAACCAACCGGTCCTAATATTTTTCTCTGAGATGCCTCAGAGACACTCTGAAACATCCCAAAGTTAGCGGAAGTCAGAAGAACTCTAATTAGAATTTGATAGGAAGTTTGTTAAAAATATCGAAAAGTTCCACGCAGTTTGTTATCAGAAGCATTCTAAGTAAACTTGTTCTCTTAACAGAGAGGAATCAGATCTAGTCTTGCACCAGCATACTTTTAATAAAATCCACTTGCCTAGTTAACTTTACTCTAAGCCCAATCATGTACGTAATTCTTTTTAGGGCTCCCTTTCTACACACATTCCACAACTTTCTGTATCCATATTAGTGTGTCCCTTATTTTTTTCCCCATCTAGAAACAACTGGCTCTAGGACCAAGTCACTTTCTTCTCCCTTAACAAACTGCAATTTCATTTCTCATATATATTTTTTTAACTCAAAATATACATCCTACTTTTCTACTGTATAGTGAAATGTTTCCCCTATTATTTTTAGTAGCTTCAATTACATAATTAAATTAGAATCCTCAATTTTTAAAGATCTTAATTTCTAGTGAATGTTTCCATATCTTATTTTGTTTGGGAATGCCATAACTGTTCAATAAACTTCCATCATTTAACTTAATTTAGCACAACTCTAAAATTTCAAGTTACTAATATCTGGAGAGGTCATTTTAAAGTAGATAGTCCTAAAACATAGTTATTTCTAAAGAGTTCACCCAAAAGCTCTTCTTTCATCTGCATTTAATTCACTTATAAGAATTTCATCATACCAAGTTAATTTTTTTCTTTCTGCTGACGAACTCTGCAACAGAAACATGAACTTACTGATCTTCAGTAAACCTAGGTACAGTAGAACTCCTGTCTGTTTTGATTATACCAGCAAGCTTAAGCTAGATTTAATATCAGATAGCAATTCAATATTGAATATTTCCTAGTGCATATGAACCTGAAATTTGTTCTGTCTAGCTTCTTTTATACTTAGAAGTATTTAATTTATAAGCACTTACTTTTAAGTCAATTAAATGGAGCTCATGTACAAGTTAACTTTTTACTAAAGACAAAACCAGAGATCTCACAGTTTTTCAGATTGAGTTTTTAAAAAAACAAAACTTTTTTTTATTTCCTTGCAAGCCCAGGTAGATCATTGAAATCTCAAAGGCACAGGAAGAGGAATAAAAATTCCTCCTCTAACTGCTTTTACAAAACCCAACCATCTTGACCATTTTCAGGGATTTTTTTTTCCAGCTCCCAAATACCCACTTCAGTTTAAAGAAATAACAGTAATAGACTATAATATATCATTCACTCACATACCTCACTTTTGGCAAAACAAGGAAGAAAGAACAGGATTTGGACTCAGGTACTGAGACTCATACACCCGCCTTCCCCAAGATAAAAGCTGAAGCAATTGCAGAAGGCCTACTTTGATGTAATAACAGAGCCATTAGGGGCCATTGTTCTCCAGATCTCAGGGAGTGCTGAGCCCACACAGTGTTGCAATAAAAAATATTTCTTTCATTTATGAGAGCATAGCTGAAGATCTCTGAGTTTTGCAAAAATAGGGGGACTATAAGATGGAACAGAACTCTGATCATCCATCCTTAATTATTCACACTGAGTGTTATCAGATATCAAGCAAGCAACAATTCAGAAGTTCTCTCAGGGTGACAGTTCCCTAGTCCCCAAAAGGGTGACACCCAGTCAATGCTCCATCAGTCCAAAAGATGAGAACCCCAACCAATGCCCTGTCAGAGATAAAAATGAATGAATGTCCAAGGCCAGTGCAAGTACTGATACTGACACACACACACACGCAGGCACACACGCAGTTGAGGTGTAGACCCAAAATTCCACTTCTACTCCCAGACGGAGGTTCCCGTAGTGACCTGGCTCCGGAAAGAGAATGAACCAAGAGTGGCTTCCAGTCAGCCTAGAATGAATGGGCTTACTTTCCGGAAGAGAAGTCGCCCAGGTGGAGCGGGTGGAATTTTCCCATCCTGTGCAAACTGGAGTTAGTCACCTAAAACGATGCACCCCAAAACACAAACAAGCTACAATCACACAGATAGAAAATCAGAGAAGGTTTAATCTAAAAATTCTACCTCCACTCCCAGATGGAGGCCTCCAAACAGATTGGCCCAGCTCTTAAAAGAGAACAGACCAGGGTGGCTCACAGTGAGCCAGGAGCAGCTCACTACTTGCAAGGGAATGAGCCCAGATAGAGTGGAGAGAACCTCCAGCCCACGCAAACTAGAGCAACTCACCCTCAAGCGACACCAAATGTGGACCGTAGCTCTGGATGTTTCTCCACTCCAAAAAGCCTCATGCCCTGGGGCGGCTGGCGCCTGTCAGGGAGAGTGCCAGCCCCCACCAGGCTCCTGGAGTGAAGTGAGCTCCAGCAGCTGCTGGGACCCGGAAGGAGCTGCCGCCGGCCAGGGTCAACCTGCCAGGGGC